TCGATAAGCAAGAGGAGGAGCAGCTAAGTCTTCCGGATTGGGCTCAACGACCTTAGAGCATGAGCTACTTTGACATGAGTCTCTGAATCTGCCTCGGGCGCAGTTGCAGCTCCATCGGCAGTCTCGCCCGCAAGATCGCCGCAGGCTCCTCAATATGAGGGACCTGGAAAATGGGCTCGACCATCTATAGAGCGACATGAGGACTTAGATTCTTCGTCAGCTCGTGGTAGGAGAGGCATTTCTCTAAAGTCTTGGCCCATTAGTAGTGGTCATTGGGAAGACTGTGGTCATCCTCGCATATAGAAAAATAGGTTGGAAGCTCCTCCAGAATGGAGTCACGATCGATCGACCTTGTAAGCCTTGCACCTGCAGCTGCAGCTCGGCCTGGTCAAGGGTGACATCAAATTAATCCTCAGTGACAAAGGCGATCTGATTGAGGAATTGATGGGACTTACAGTAGTCCTCCACAACATGTTTGTGATACACCCGGACAAAAGTTAGCCCCGCCGTTGACCCTAGAAAGTTCTGTCGACCAAAGGGTCAAACGAAATTGTCGGCAGTCTACATCTCCAACTCTTTCTTCTCTTTGAGCTTAGTTATGATTATGATAGCCTCATGCTCCTGGTTAATTTGACCAATCTCCTTCTTCAACTTGTGATTTGAGAGCGAGTTGGTCATTCTCCCTCACCATATCCTTGAGGTCCTGTTAGAGGTCCTCGTAGAATGGCGAGGTCGCACGGTTCCCCTCATCGATCATGGGGACGAGGGAGGTGAGCAGCTGCAGGATTTATGGAGTTTAAACCAAGAAATAAACCAAGTATTTTATCAATGTACAATAAAAGAAATACATACTTGCGCAAGGGTCTTGGTCGCGTGGGCCAAACGACTTTGATTATTAGTAACCCAATGTTTAGTCTCCTCTGTGGAGAGCACCTGCATGAGGTACGTCGAAATGGAGACCTCATCAAGGTTTGTGGCAAGGTGTTCGGACACATCAACGTTGATCTGCTCGACACGAGGCTTCTTCGAGCTTCCAGGAGCAGCGACTGGCTCAAACTTTTTTGGGTCGAGGGTCGAGGAGAAGGAGAAGGAGGAGGAGTAGTGGGCTTGGGAGTTGGCTTCAAGGGGCCAATCTTGTCGAGAGCTCCCTTGGAGCGACCCTCGAATGAGGATTGGGGAGCTTTCTTTTTGTCGATAGAGGTCGAATGAGCTTTTCCCTTGGTGCCAGAAGAGGTCGCCTTTATAGACTTGACCATATCCTCTACAAGGAAAGCACAATATGTATTAGACCAGAAAATCAAACAATAATATAAGTCAAGTACCCTATCAAGCTCGACATTCGACAAATGAGGGATAAGGTCCTTTGGTGAGACTACAATGGAAAAGAATCTTCTCGCTATCGACCATCAAAGTGGAATTAATGGTAAACTCATTTCAGGATTGGATGAGAAGGTCGAAGGCAGGGTTGGGTGGTGGACGAGCAATATGAGGAGGCTTTTGGTTTTCCACTCCGAGCTAAAAAGGAAAGGGGTGGAAGGTCGAATGAAAAAGAATCTGGTATTCCAACCAGGAACATTTGTAAGAAGATTCTCTAGTAATTCAACTCCATTTCGCGCTGATACATAGAGAATTCCCTTTTGGAATTTGGCCTCAAATCGGTATATGAAAATTATTTTGTCGAGGAAGCCTAGTCGACAGTGGCAGAGTATGGTGAAACACGCTAAGTTTTTTATGGCATTTGGAGATAGCTGATTTACCGAAAGGTCATACATGGCACAAAGATATAATAGGTCACTATGGAGAGGAAACTGAAGACCAACAAGAATCTGGTCTTGGAAGAACTTATAGCAGCTGGTAGGAGGTTGTTCATACACATCAAGAGGTCATGGGGTGACGAAGTGCCATTCCTCAGGCAAACCACTAATTACATGATTGGTATAATGGAATGAAATTCGGTAGGAATGAAATGAGTTAAAGAATGGAATGATTATGAGAAATTAATGAAACAAGTTTTTTCATTAATACGTTTGGTATGCAGAAGGAATAAGACCGAAATGGAATGACATTATCATCCTATATTATCATTTATCACTATTTTATAGTAAAAAATTAATATTTTATATTAATGTTATTTTCTTATTTATGATAATACTAATACTATTATATATTTTAAACTTATACAATATTTTAATAAACATACTTTTGTATTTTTACACACATCTTATATAATAAATAAATGAATTACGTATTTATATACATAATAACTAATAAAAATATATCATTACATAAATACCTATAAGCATATGTGGTCAAATATACTTTTTTATAATATAATTCAATTTATGAATAAATATGTAATATATATGATTATATAAAATAAAATAATATTATTATAAAATATTTATAAATGCATTTTTTGTGAGTTTTATTTTTATATAAGTATTCAATATATCTAATTATAATATGAATAATAAATAAAAATAATTTTTTATTAGAAATTTATTTTTTAAAATGATTTTATTTAATATAATTTAATCATGATAATATAATATATATTTATTTGTTAACTTTATTTTTTTGAAAAATCGATTCCTAAACATATGGGAATGGGAAAACCATCCATTAGATATGGAATGACTAATCTCATATACATGGGTTTTGCAACTCTCATTGGAATGGTCATTCCCTTCTAAAAAATATACCAATCATGGAAATAGAAATTAGTAATGAAATGATCATTACATTTCCACATCATTCCCGCATACCAATCATGCCATAAGAATTTGGAAATGACCAAGCCAGTCACGAGCAACATTAAGGAAAGTGTTAGGCTTTCGAGCCATACACACGTCTTGAGGAGTATTAGGGTAGCACCTGGAATAGATCTACCCATCAGAATGACAGAAGGCTGAGGAGCTCCAGGTGCGAACGAGTTTGTATTCTCGTTAGACTCTTCAATTAATTGAAGAGGTCTAGAATGACTAGGAGTTGGTCGAGTGCTAGGTTCAGGGGAGAAAGAAAGGAACATATTGAGAAGTGGTTGAGGAAGATGAGGGGTGGTCATATCCCCACCAATGGAACTGGCGTCGGAGTTGGTAGTTGCGCGGGAAACTAAAAAAAAAAAAGAAAAAAGAGGGAATATTTGATGAGGAAGATGAACCTGGGAATTGGGAAAGATAAATTGAAGAACGTGAATGACCCAAAAAAACAAAGCGAAAATTGGAACGATAAAACAAAGATTCAGAAAAATTTATTACTAAAGACATCTTTGGGGCGGCGAAGAAGAGCTGAGTACGCTGGTCAACAACAGTTTTCTTGCAAAATTAGGTGACTACTATTTGGGAGAAAACTTGAAACTTAAAGAATTTTTGTAGAAGGCAAAAGTGAAGAAAAGAGGCGGATGAGGGTATTTATAGGAGGGAAAATAGGAAAGGTGAGAGGTGGTCCGACTCCAGGCATCTGGTCAAGTTGATAAGGACGGTCCAGATTGAAAAATACGAAGGTGAACGGTTGGTCGAGCATAACCGTCGGATTAAAACAAGACTGAACGAGTCAGATTGAAATCACGAAGGTGAAGGAGTGGTTGAACATGGTTGTTGGTTCAAATCAAGCATAAACGGACGAGGTGAAAGCAGAGAGATGAAAAGACAGGCTGGGATGGACAATTGGAACCAAGGTACAGCGAATGGACAAGATTGAATACATAATTATTAGGTACGCTGCACAAGGCATGCACGGACTGCGAGGGATTCACGTCGATTGGTTTGGTGTCAGGAACGTGTCGATTCATAAAAAATTCAAAATTTGAATTTTGAACTTAGGAGGAGGGTAGTATGTCTAAAATAATAGAAGCAACCGAACAACACAAGGAGAAGAAGGTCGATGGTGCAAGCCAAGAGCTCAATAAAGCAAGGCCCAAAGTAACTATCTACTCTTATGGAGTTAAAATAACTCGACCAGGGTGGGGGACCAAATGATATAAGATATCATACCAGGTCGTGTCGACCCGAGTGACGGGCTAAATGGACCGGGGGACAACATCATGTCGATCGGAAGATGGAGGCTATGTAGGTCGAAAATGACGTCGTATGAACGGATTACCAACAGGTCGAGCTAACGGTCTCAGAAGGTCCACGAGGAGCTCGACCTGAGGACATCATAGGTCGATTCGACCTAGTGAACAAAGCACGAGCTCAGTGAAGACAACGCTCTACCTCAAGATAAGTCGAATTAGTCGTAAAGTTAGACCGTCTAATAAATAAGACTAAGAGATAAGGGAACATTATGAGGATAAGAACCACACGTGGATTAGACTACGTGGCCTAACAGAATTGGGCAGTTCAGATAGTACAAACGGGCAGTTCGGGCAACAAAGTATCATCTTCCTCTATTAGAGAATGAAGTATACCTACTATTACATTACATTCTCTACACATTTACAATGCTATTCATCATTTTCATCACATCTCTAACTTAAGCATCGAAGACTCTTCATCAAAAAACCCCTCCACTGTCAAGTTTTTGCAGGGATTGAAGGTCATCCACCGACGAAAGAGGTAAATCAACTCGAATCTAGCCGATCGAGAGTCTTTACATACCATATCCAATGATTTGGGACAAATCACAATTTTGTCAACTACCATTTGCAATTTTAGAAAATATCCATGATCTGTACATATTTCGAAATTTTGCCTATATTAAAAAGATTTCCAACAAAAAAATTAAGATTAATCTAAAGAATGGAGATTTTTACACCAATTTTTTCATATATTCTTTATCATTACTTTCAAATGTTGTAAATAATGCAAAAAAAATTAAATAAACTATATAAATATAAAAAGTTATAATTTGAAATAATAATAGAAAAAATTATTCTATCGCACATGCACTTTACTACTATTAAAAAAGAATCCTAATTTTGAATGGACAAAAGCACATGCACATGCACTATACTATTGCAAGATCTCATAATCATTTATAAAAAACAAATTTTGAATGGACAAATGTTACACATCTCAAAATAACTTAACCCGTTCCAGTCATTTTTTTTATTCTGTTTCTTCCTTCTCAACAACCCATTACAGAATGACATCAAAATACAAAATTAAGTACCGATCAAGAAAAAAAAATATGAAGTATGGTAAGTCTACGGCGACACCGGCTCACACTTGTTTCTATGAAATATCGTTACCTTCACTTTTAATATAGCAAACACAACTTACCAGTACATTGACAAAATTTACAATTTAAAAGTCATACTAATGACTAAATTAACCTTGTAAAAGGGAAATGCACACAACACCTAACTTCACCCAAAATACAAGCCAACGGCCAACGGGTCCTTTATTTTGCATAGTACTTCGCATTTGCTAATAGCTGTATTATCGACACATACCTGCAATTCCCTACCAACCAAACTCGTCTTTGGTTCCCCTGAAACAGTAACAATAATAATAATTATAAGACTTTGCTCAACCATCACTACATTCAGTCATTTTCGCAACAATTATCCAAAATTCCACATTCATATTCCGCCCAAGCCCGAGCTAAGATATTTGAGAAAACAAAGCGGGAAAAATTGATACTGTGCCATCTTAAACCTCTCGCCAACCCAAAAAGTTCTTACCTGAATATACAGAAAATTTGAAACTTTGCCATCTTAAACCTCCCGCCAACCCAAATACTTCTTACCTGAATATACAAAAGACAAGAGGCTCCTTTATCTCCAGTGCAACGTACTGCTATCTCCAAAATTATGTTTACCTGACACTGTCAACACACTGCACATTTGAAAATGCAATTGATAACCACCCGTGACGGAACGAGAGTTTAATCAATCATTCAGAAAACGAGACATCCTGGTAAACAGAAACAGAGCCTTGATGAAGAGCCGAGCATTAACCACGAATCCATACACAGATCGTAAACAATCTATAGGTTCATCCCAATTTTTCATTCTACACATTGCCGAATCATTTCTCTTTACTGGCAACCGATCAAGTAAAAAACATGAATGCAGGGTAAGAGAAGAGACAACAAATATCTATCTTTATAGCAAAACTGACCGCAGCCTGGCAAAACAGGCGTGAAAAAAAAAAAAATCAATAATAATTAACTGGTGACAACCGACCACTATCATTAATCTAAACCCGCGATCTTGGATCAGACATTCGAAAAACGAATTCTTTCCTTGAAATTTACTCACTCCAACACTGTCAACTCCTGATCGACCCTCCAATAATTGGCGTCGTTAAATTCCTCCATGCCAGCACCGGTTTCAGGAGGGGTCTCGCTTTCGGGCTTTTTCGGCGAGAGGTTCCTCTTCAAAGGCCCGGCCTCACCAACGATCCCTTCCTTCAGCGCTTGCTCCATGGCTTTCTCGGTGCCCTCTAACTCCACGCCCACAAACTCGACATCCTCCTCGAACAAAGACGGGACAGCTACATTTTTGTGGTGACTCGAGTTGGATTTAACCGACCCATCACTAGAGCTCGATTCAGAACTCGACATTCCGTTTGACAAACCTAATTGAACATCATCACTCTCGATTTTTATGTTCGGGTCATCAAACGGGTTAACATTGGGCTCATTGCCCCATGCCACCCATGTGGGCGCGGGCCGGGCCCCAAATGGGCCGTTGTCTTGGGACTCTAAGCTCAGATCGGCCGAGTCGAGATCGTCAAAGGGGTTTTTGGTCACGCTGGGTTTGAGTCCGTCGAGCATCTCAGATGATGAGGTGGCGATTGGGGGATTGCCGCTGATTCTGTCGTCTTGGAATGCGAACCAGTTAGAGTTTGTGAACAAGCTGTGGTCAAAGAAAAGGATAAGTTACGAAATGTGAGACGAATCTAAATTTGAATCCAAACAGAGCCTTAGGGCTTGGTTGTTTATGAAATAATTTACTCACATCTAATTCATACTCAAAATTTAACTCACCTTTAACCCAACCCCACTATTTTTAATATTATTCATATAATTAAATAATACAAACCAATCATTCTTACACATCACATTAACTTTAATTCACTATTCATCCACTCACATAATTTTAACTACCCATCATTTCTAATCATTTCCAATCATTTATCTCCTACATTTATATCAAATCAATTTTAATTATTTTATTTTAAATATTATTTTAATACATTCTTAAAATCCCACTAACAACTAACCATACTACCTTTTTCAAAATTAACTCTAGTTAACTAAAATAACTCATTTTGAATGAATAATTTCATAAACAAGCATGCCCTTAGGTAATCTTGGTAAGCAACTGTTCAGTTATAGAATGAGTTGAGGTTTAAGTAAAAAAACTAAGAGGGCATACCTCCCTTGGTCACCACCCAACCTTAAGGATGAAATTACGACTTCGGCTGATTCGTCGTCGAAGTATACATCCTACAATGTTTAATCCATTTTTATTAACATGCGATCAATCTTATCAACAAGGGGAGACAATTGCGAGATTGGGTTTTTCTAGGGTTTTACTCAAATGAAGAATAAGGATTAAGGTGTTCTCCTAAATTAAGTTGCAAGTAGAGAAATATTACCTCATCATCACGATCAAGAGATCCATGGCCCTGTAACACATAATGCATTCATAAATAGCTATATATCCAAGAAATTAGATTTTCATATCCAGAGAAAGTTATTAGCAGTTAAAAGCAAGTCTTGTCTTTTGCCTACCGTTTGAATTACCTCATTGTCATCGTTATCATATATGTTGTATCTAAATGCTTGGCTTAAATTATTGGCCAAGGCTGCAACATCATAATCCCGATCATGAGCATCCTCCTCATCACTGTCTCTGGTCCTGTCTTGGAGTGCAGTTGGACGGCTGCAAAGATGGGCAACATATAATATCATCTTCAAGACTGCTGACCAGTAGAATACATAACGAGGGTTTTGCAAGAGAAGAGAACGAAAATTCTTTGATTCAGAAAAAAATTAAATCAGACAAGCTAGCAGACTAAATAGATATAAATGCAGATGAGCAACAAAATTGTGCAACCATATAGTACATTGCAGGCTTGGCCAATTTCTCACTCCCCGATAAATTACGAGCTTTCAAGACACAAGGTTCAATTCAAATCCGTCCATGCAAGTGTTACCACTGACCTACCATTTTATGGCTAAATGGATGATGATATTACAAAAAAAATTATGTTTATGCAAACGCAACATCAAAAGAATCAGAGAGAAGGCATACCCACAAGCCCATCGGTAGACATTCTCAATTGTACTGCGCTCCTGTAAGACAGTGGTCCGCCACTCGTTCCACTCACTATTCTCCTGAAGTGTAGGAAACGTTATTACAAGCCATGACATATAAAATTAAAATCAAAGTGACTGCCATAGTATATTTTTCTTTACAAAAAGAAAAAAAGCACAGAAGGAAAAGGTTTCAGCTCAGCAACTGTAAATTAAAGATGAAACTTGAAGTTGCTCATATAATAAAAAGTTCTAATATTCAAAATATAATATTCTAAGACAATTTGTACACTTGTTGCCAACCTGAAGATGTGTTTGAACGACACTGTTTCCCAACTGAACTAATTTATTTGCTATCCGAGTCAAGTGTCCAAAATACCCCCCACGAGGAGCATGCTTTCCAGAAGCTGGCTTAGTTGGCTGCATTTATTTAAAGCCATTGCCATGTATACCAATTGTATGTAATATAACAGAAAAATGTGAGAGAAAATAGTAAGAGGCAGGGCGATGTGAAACTGAAAGTTATGGACACATCAATTAATCACCAAATGAACATTATATATTATTTATTATAAATAGAAGTATATATATGTATGTGTGTGTGTGTGTGTGTTTAGAAGTAAAAGAATTACCAGGGACAATTCTTAACATTTGTTGGAAAAGTGTAAGATGATTAATTAGTTACAGTAATAATAGAAGTTGTCGACACACATCTTCTGTGCCCTTTCATGGAAATATATAAATAATGCCTTCATGATTAACTAGTTACAATCATCAACTTGTATACAAATATATGTACAAAGCTGTAGAATATATATATATATATATATATATATATATATATATAAACATATGCAAATTTGTTATATGTAAGATTAACATATAAACTTATCAAAATTTAAGCATTTACATGGTTATTTATGTTACTATATACTGACTTATGAGGGTGTGGGTGTGAGTTGATGTGGGTGCACATGGGAAGGGTGGTCTAGAAGACTGACTCAAATCTGACATCAGCAAGCCTTATGTAAAAGAGTGACTTAGAAATGAGTTTGAGCCTTCAGTAGAAGGTCCAGCAGGGATCTGTCCCTTTTTTGTCTTTGACTAATATATTCAATGAAATATGCAAATTGTTTTCTAAAACAACAAAACACCAGGGGTAGGACATATGCAATACGTTAAAATGATATGCTGCACCAATAAGTTAGGGTGCAAGTTGATATAAGATTTTTTCGAAAATTGTCTCGTCTGGGTAACGGATTGGTTTGGGTGCTGGGTTTAGCCAGGGGCGGCTCCTCTAACCGATCATCCTTGATAAGCTGCCGATGAGTTCCAGCTGCCAGAGTCTTCGATAAGAAAGAGGAATAGAGATAAAAAGGTGGAAAAAATGTTTTTGAAAAAAATGAGATATAGTTGAGATTGGAAATGGATGTAACATAAAAATGTATGATTAAAGTTATAACAAAATACTGATTATTAAGATTGGTAGTTAGAAATATGAGAGTGAATAAATAGTATTATTATTGAAAAATATATATTAATTTATTATTTTATTTTTCAATGATGTTAGTGGAATAGTTGTTTTTTGGAATATTTTGTGTTTCAATTCTTGCTTCAATGAGATAAATCTTAATTGAACAAACAAAAATGATAAAAAAAAATATAACCAATGGCAACCTTAGATTTCTTGTTCACCTGAGCCAAAGCTTATATATTCTCTCACAAACGTAGATGTCAAACTTCGTATCTACTCATAAAGATGGAGAGATTGACAATGAACCAAATCAACAAACAAATATGCACAAACCAACTAATTACAATGAAAGATTTACCAGGTTGATTTCATCAGAAAGATCAGGACTTCTATCACTTTGAAGAATTCGGCCAACCAAATTGCATTCTAGGAGAAGATGATCAACAATAGCACTATTTTTGCTTTCCAAGCAAGAATATATAATGCTCTCCACATGATGATGCAAAGCATTATTGTACGGGTACCTGCACCAGAAAAATAAGATCATTGGAGTAAGTATTAGAAGTGTGCCGCCCATTTCAGAACATGTCAACTAAAAGGTTACAACATAACTACTTGAACATATCTTACTCAAAAAAGAGGTCAAGGACTCTCTGAATTGTTCCAGAGCCAACCAATTCCATCCCTGCCACTTCATTGCCAGTTTTTAGCAGCACGGCAAGGAACTCCACAATCTACAATCAGGCATCAAAATGGCACTTTCAAGTTCAGAGGAGAAAACCCGGAAAAAAGTGGACGTCAGATGAACTGTTTAGACATGGTTCCTGTTCCCAGTTCCTTCAACTAACCAATCAATCTGACGGGCTAATTACGTAATTACTTCATACATTGTTAAAATGTTCAAGCCTTGCAAGCTAGATGTGAACTTTTGCTTTTTATTAATAAGAAAAAGATCCATAAGCTACGAATCAATTCTTGCATTCAAGGGTAACTGGGTTAACATTTTAGGGTGTCGCACGAAAAATTATAGCATGACGCACTGGATACTAACCTTCAAACGAAACTGTCCTAGAGGGGGCCTCAATTCACCATAAGTTGTGGGTAAAACCTTCTCATCAGATGTAACATTCAAAAGCATCAGCAGCTCCCCTGAAAAGTATCGTGCAAATGCTTATTATAACATTCTTGGAAATTCATAGACTAAAAGTTGGGGTTGTAGCAAATGTCAGTTGCAATTCAAAAATACTATTCATAAGTTAAGTATTCATATTCGATGAAAAGATGCATTTAGGGTATCAGCTGTACAAGTTCTGTTCTCCCCGCAACAATTTGAAAATATGGCAGCAAAAAGTTTGGGAAGATAAACAAAATGAGTAGCCAATCTTAGATAAATTGATTGTCACCAATCTACTGTCAAAGGCGATGATGGCAATTAGCAACAACTGGTCAACTGCCAGGGCTACAGATCTCCGATCACCAATTGGGAGGTTGCACTTGATCCACGTGAGAAATCGTTTTAGAAACTTATGACTATTTAAAATCCACTGGTTAGATCTCCAGCAGTAATTTATAGACGTCGGCCATTGTTTTCCGGGAAACAGGGGTAGCCTTGAATTGCAAAACTCAACAAAGCTTGAGTACTTGTTTGGTAGACTAAAAAAGTTTGGCTTAAATTGCAAATTCAAAAAGTCATAATTTAATTGGCAACTAAGCTATATAAAACATAGTAGCCAATTTCGCAACAGAGGAACCTTTACAGTTCACCATCTATTGAGCTGCGTGTCTTCCACCATTAGATAATACAGTGGAAATCATAAAGCTACATGAAACTAAATAGATCTCAGCTAATATGTGTATGTATATATCTATATATACACACACACACACACACACAGAGGGGGAGAGAGACAAATGGCATAATATCAACAATCTCTGGCTGCATACCTAGTTTCGGAAGCATAGCACCTATAGTATCTGGATTTACATGAGCTGGTGGTTCATACACGTGTTGACTTCTGAAAGAGTACATGACTGATGAAGATATTGATCGTTTTGGATCCAATAAAGAAATACAAACAGAGAGCGAGTGAACAAGAGCAGATTTTGAAGGCGAGTCTTCAAGCGCATGACTAAATACTCGTTCCACAAAGCTGGCCGATAGAGAGACTAATAAGTTATAATGTGTTCATTTCATAAACATAAAATATGGGACCCATTGTACAACGAAATTTTTAACTGAGTTCTACAGACCTTGGACTAGATAGTTTCATGGCCACAGGTGATGGCGCATTCCTGGTTATAGAACATAGTGTTTCCGCAGCATTAGCATGTACCTCAGGAGGATTCTGCATGACAAAAAAAATGTCATATCCAGGTACATATCTTTAAGTCATAAGTGGAAGGGTGTCTTTGGCAAACCATGCTGAAATTAGATTACAGAACAGACAATAGGATATTTTGTAGATCATATGCCTCCTAATCCATGTTAGAAATCGATCTATTCATCAGTGTTTAGTTCTCTTTTACTTTATTCATTATATTTGTTTACAACAAATTAGTGCTTTTAAGGCCCACTAGTGTCACGATGCCCCAACAATAGAGATATTCATTGGGGTAAGGGTACTATTTAAGAGTATTATTGTTTGAGAAAGACACGTCTGAAATAATTCAGTTTTCAATTTTAAGCTTGGCCAGAAGGTTTTCTTGAAAACTTTGGTCAAAAAAAGTTTCTAGTCAGGATACTGATAAATTATATTGACGTAAGTCCATTGTGGTTACAATTTCTTCTAATTTTCTCATTGAACCGCTTAGTCTATCAACCCCTTAGTTGAGTGAGCCACCCACAAAAAAGAATGACATGGCAGAAAGAATTTTTCCCTAAATGAGGCATAATTATCGGGACAGCCGAAGCAGCCATCTCCTATGAGATGAATTCTTAATAAATTTCATCTTCCTTAAAAAACACTCATGATTATGAGCAATGCCTAGATATGAAGTTCTTCCACTCAATACAACTTAAGCAATAACTCCCTGATAAATAGCAAAAGTCACTACATCCACATAGAGCAGTCCTATATGGCCATACACCTTTTTCCAATTGACCAGATAATAGGGGCAAGTACATGCATAATGGACCTCTTGCACATCCTATATGACCATTCATCAGTAACTCATTAACAACCAAGCACTGATATTATAAAAAGGTATGACACACACATGGAAAGTACATGATTGTATCTGTCACACGTTAGGATATTGATATTTTGCCGAACTGATCTAACTAGCTAGTAACTAGACAACTAAATCTACTGATTAGATACTTCCACCAACAGCAACAGCAAATGTGCCAATAGATAGACAATTTTCAGTGAACTTACTGAAGTATTAAGTTTATCAACAATCATTTCTAAGAGATTGCTATCAGCCAACCACTGCATTACATCGAATGAATTGGGGTAGAGATGCTCATCTGCACCAAGAAGTCGCACCAAGACCTGATAAAATGAAGAGCTGAATGAGCGGAGAGAGGTCAGAAAAAGCAACTGCAAGCTTAGCCAGCTCTGATATACAATGATATTAAGAATCAGAAACTCAAGCCAAATAGAACAAGATAAATAAAAGAATCAACCTCCATGATGGATGTGATACCAATCAAATCAACCAGCTGCTTAAAAACATCTTGGTGGACCTGCAAAGAACCAACATCATATTTGGTCTCTCAAAATATGTATATATATATATATATATATGCAAAGTTCCGCGAGCCTAAATGATAACTCGTGGTACTCCGTAACCCTATGTATAATTTCGGGCGCTTCAAAGTAATCCAAGTAATCATAACAATTTTCCATGTCTATTTGGACATTTAAATTTATAGAACACTAAGCTAAATTTGTATTAAAAATGTATTTTAAAATATAATGACTCTTTCATTTGATATCAGTTTTTCATATATGATATATCAAATTAATCATCTTTTCACAATCTTTTATTTGATATCCATATTGCTTGCATATATAAAATAAAAAAGTAAGTACATCTACAATAAAAATTCATTAATTACTAATCAATTAAATGAAATTTTCAGGTATAAATTAATCAATTAACAGTCGTGCAATTGTTGTACTGCTACTAGTTACTTTAAAGGGAAAGAAATAGTTTTAACACCGAAACTGGCTTTCTCATAGCCATTATGCATTAATTGTATGTTCAACATTATAGTATGCACGAGCACCTCAACCTAAAGCTTCCTCAACAACACTCCCAAAATGATTTGGAACTTTAAAGCAGCGTAAAATTCACTTAATCATCCCAACTTCAGATCTAGGTATAGCTATATAACATAATGAAAACTCACACTAGTATACTTTTCTAGGATTTAGAAGTCTTTGCTCTTCTATAATTTTCCATGAATTAAGAAATGGTATGGGAGAAAGAGGTAAAGCTACATGCCAATAAATCCTTCTTCTCAATGTCTTAAGAAACTCATTTAATTAGATTATTCTTAAAGAATAATGTCTGAACATAACAGGAAAATATTAGCCTCTTATAACGTAAAACCGATATAAAGAATACCGAGCAATTCTGAGACATGATACAAAGATAAAAAAGAATTAATATTATCCATTTCCCGTCCATGAACCAAAACCAAGGAAGTGGTCGAAGCAAACAGAAATGGTTAGATATCGATTTTTCAATGGTTTAGTTGATGTTTCAGTTAGCATGCAAAATGAAACTTGTCCAAAAGTTACACTGAAACCACCTTGACATAATTCATGAGTGAAATAGTCTTCCGCAACATTAAGCACACGACAACCTGAAAAATAACATAAATTTTGCTAAAAAGGTTGGTTGTGAAGTGGTCCAGAATCAACACAGCAAGAAACAATTGTACGGAGTAATCTATCCAAACCTTGCTAAAATACCCAGCCAGTAATGCACTATGACTACGGTTTGGTTCCAGAAAAGAGAAGAGCAAGTCCATAAGCTGCAATAAAATACAGTGAGAATGATTGACCTCCAACAGGTGGAGTGGGCATCATCATCATCAAATATATTACTTCAATTGTATAATTGAATCCCCTAACCTCCTCCTCCTCCACCAAAGTCTTCAAGATTACATCAATTTCACAAGTAAATATTTCGCAGGCAATAAAAGGAAACCTGCAAAGTGAGCCAAAAGTTTTACAGCAAATGAATATCCCAAAATGACCAAATGGAACAAGATTTCCTTTTTTCTTCTTCCTTTGTTCATTCATATCACTAGAGACGAGTAGTTTCCTATAACATGATCAGTAACTTGTAGGTTGTAGGTACGGAAACTATACTACATACTTGAAAGTTCTTTTGCTATCGGCATCCTCTGGAGGGTCCTCAACGATATAATGCAGAAGTTGTTCAACCTGAGATCTATCTCTCAAACTGAAACCAAACCAATCAATTCTTAAGCACAATGACAAAATAAAAGTTTGATGATTTCAACAAAAGTGAACCTAAATATCTTTATAGCACAGGAAATATCAAATGAGACAAGCGTTTAAGCAAGGAGTACAAGTTTATAAGGCGACTGTTTAATGCTTTGCATTCTTGAATGATTTCTTCCTCATCCAAAAGCTCTTCCAGTGTAAAATTTTCTTTGTCCAGCACAGCCTCAACCTAAAGCCATAATATGCATGTATCAGAACATTAATTAGTGACTGGCAAAAATAAGTCAGCAGAGTAAGCTGATGAGAGGAGAGCAGAATGAACATGCGTATCAGTATGCAATATGCAGGTCTTATTTTATATTTGAGGCTTAGAGCTTGAGCTTAGCTTTTTAATTTTCAATTTAATAAGTTGAAAGTTGGTACCTTTTACAATCTACATAATCATCTTTTTTATAATATTCTGTAAAGCCATGACCTGGCTAAGTTTCTAAGTTTGATAGTTTACTATATAGTTAATGTTTATATCCAATGCTGTAACTAAAGAGTTACTGATAGTCAGGTTCAATCATTTGATCAGATAAGATATGTACCCATTCAACCAGGTTGACACAGGCAAGGTTGTCAAAGACAAAAATGCCGAATAATATTTCAAAGAAAATCTAAAACATGATTAATTTGATATAGTGAGAATCATTAAGTCATTTTCAAGAAACTGTGCCTGCTTGTTCCTTGTCTCTCTAATGGCTAAATAATCAAACAGGAGATACAGTGTCCCACTTATATGGGCATATTTGCATCAGTTTGAAGTTTACAAACAAATAGTTATCATTTTGCTTATTTTGCAACTTCAATTTCAAACATATTATTATGCTATACCACTTATTTTCTATGTTTTTTTTTTAAGGGCCGACCCATACATCAAATTAATTGAATGGGTTATATATCAAAAAATAATCCATACTACTAAAGTGGGCTAATTTATTCTTCTTTTTTCCAGGTATTACAGTAATCTAAAGCATTATTCATCCTGAATGTGTCGTCACAAATTCACAATGAAACCTGCATACGTGCTTACTTCGACAAAGTTATCGGAGGAAATAACTAAGGAGGAGAAGGACCAGACTTTAACTGGTAAAACAGAGAATTGAATGCTTTTCAACTGAAGACCAGAGTAAGGGTTACAATTTACCAAACTGACATGAAGACAGAAGACACCAAGAGCTGAAAATGAGTAGAGAGGTGGAGAGGCAGACATCAGCAAGGGCATACAGGATAAAAAGAATTATGTTGGAAATTGTCATCACTTAGTACCACCTAACTAATGTAACTTTAGTACAATTGGCATCCCAGCTCCAATAGGTACTGAACAGCAACATGTATCAGTTGTCTACGCTGAAAAAAGGAAAATCTTGAACTTCAACTGCTCTATAAATCATTCAGTAGCACAAATAGCTGAAAACATAAAACTTCAAAAGAATCAAGGCCCTCACTTTCAGAATTATAACAACTACCACCTCCCTTGCTTTACTTGCCATTTACAATATTGGAAGTAAACACCAACTCAGCTTAAGTTCCTACTGACGAAAATCAAGCCTGAATCTACTTCAACACCACATAATTTATGCACTTGAATAATTCATTAACCCAACAGAACAAGAAGCAAAAGAAAAGCAGCTGCCGTTGACTTACAGGAGACGATGCAGACAGGGCCGTGAGCTTCCAGAACATATCTTCTGTGAGCAAACGAATCTATGGTGGAGGGAGACGAGCTAGCAAACCGGACAACACAGGTGGACCTGACAGATCTGTGAGCTCTGAAAATGAACCGACAGAGCGAGTGGGTATATTAGCTGATATATCCTTTCAAAGGAGAAATTGGAATTGGTGGAGATGAGGGCAAAAACCCTAATCTTCGGAAGATCGAAGACGAAAAAGGGAATTCTGGACGATCGAGAGCAGCCAGAACAAACCTTTTTGATTTGATTTTATTTTATTTTATTTTAATTTGATCGTATAATTGTTTTTGTTGGGGTGGGAGGGGCTCTCAGGGTGGTTGCCAGATTAAATACATAGTGGCCCGTGTCATGCACGGTTAAACAATATTATGATTGTATTATAAATTAAGAGCACGTTTGGTTGGGAAGAAGAGATTGGACAACTTTTATTCCTTACCAAAGGATTACACTGTTCAGATAAGAATTATCCCTTGTTTGATAGACATGATTGGAATTTTGGATAAGCTTAGGTAAAAAGGCATCATACGTTTGTTTTTCATGATAGCATTTTAGATTAAGTTGTATATTGACAAAATTACCCCCTCCTCATCTTAACCCACCCTCTGTGCTGTATTTTATTCTTCAAAATCCCACATGTGAAATTGGCCGACAGAAAATGGCAATCTCTTCTACAGCGAAGACCTTCATCGTGCGTAAGTGGGAGTTGACGACGACCTCCTCGATTCCTAACAATTCGATTAATGATCTGGTTCGGGGTGAGTCCTATCTACGGTCCATTCATAATTTTAATTTGCCCTAAAAATTTCAATTTTGGGAAAACAAAGTTCAATTATTCATGTTAACATTTTGGTACTGGTAAAATTGATGAGATTCTTGTGTGTTACAGTTGTGAAATATCATAAAGTAATCTTTCAGCGTGATAGGGTTTACGGGGACTTGGGCTAGATATGAAATGCTTTTTTACTGTTTTGCCTTTAGAAATGTGTCAACAGATGGTTGAAAAGCCAACTCAATGGAATTTTTCAGAGCATGTGACATTTCTGGATTTTTTTGGATTATATTCCCTGACTTCAGATTCCTATTTCTCTTCTTCTCATGTTTATTGTTATATGAGTGGCTGTAAGTTGTTGTTTAATAATTTTCTTTTTTCTGCCATACACACCCTCCCATAGTGCTATATATATTCCAAGTCCATATGTAGTATTCCATTACCAAGAGAATAGTTGGACTTCACAGTTACATTACAAAATAGCAAAAATGCCTCGTTTGTCTGTGTTAATCACGCAAGAAGAGTGCTTATATGATGAACATTGGACAAAAGAGGCTGACAATCTTTTAATTGACCTTCTAATGGAGTTGAATGCTTTGGGTGATTGGAAATATGGCAGACCCGATCATTCTGCTTTTAATTATTGCAGGTCGGGTATGAAATCAGAGTTGGACATGAACTTCACCCTACCTGATGTTGAGTTGCGGTTTGACTTTCTCCACAAACGCTACCGTGTTTTCAGTTGGATGCTGCGCAAACATGGCTTACGGCATTGCGTTCAATCCAACGTCTTAACGGCACCCGTAGCTGTCTGGGATGACATCTTTGAGGTACAAATTTTTCCAAAAGATTGATAGCATTTATGCTTTGTAGTATGGTAGTCCAACTCTTTCAGTGTCGGTTTTGTGTTATGGTAACCAATTGTTATTGATGTCGGTTTTGTGTTATGGTAGTCCAACTCTTTCAGTGTGGCCTACCAACATTGTGGTGATCCTCGTTGGAATGAGCTTAAGTATCTTTTCACTTTGGTATATCCGACATCACCTATCTCAGAGAATGTGCCAGATTTTCACTCGACTAACCAACTTGTTGACCCAGAGATTGTAGAACCAGCATGCCTTATGTCTGAACAGTCGAACAATGAAGTGGTTGTTCAGTGTCCCACCGGAAACAATTTTGACCCATGTACGAGGCATCGAGAACGTGATGTGTCTTCCGAATGCTCAGTTAATACTCAACCACAACCACAGTTCATGAATCCAAGGCAAGGTACTCATACGCCATCGCGGATTCCAAGGCCTCAACGCAAGACTGGTCTGTCCTCGTGCAAGGGCTCCTCCAGTGAACCTCAGATTTGACAAGTATAAGACTTTGTAGTAACGGTCATGCTGATTGTTGTTTTGTCGGAGCATTGTACGGTAATGTTATTCTCCTGTTTACATGGGATTGAAAATGTGTTAGTTTTCATATTTATGTTGGCGTCAATGGTGGGTTTGTAATGTCTTATGAGGTTCGACGTTTGTGATATTTGTTAAGGTGAATGATCGTTATTATATCTTCCTCTCAGAAATTAGTTATATTCATAATGTTGCGTACCAAAACGCAAAATGTGTTTCCATGATGGGTTTGTAATGTCTTATGAGGTTCGACGTTTGTGATATTTTGTTAAGATGAATGACATTCATTGACATAAAGGAAAAATAAAACAAATGGTGAATTACATTGCATAAAGAAAGCAAATAAACAGTTAAGAAGCCTGTCTGAAGCACATTAACATATAATTTACCAAAATATGAAAGTACATGCAACAAGCTTAACTTACCAACATAACAGTACCACCACAACAACTACCAACAAAAGACATACTTCACCGAAATATGAAACTACACCCATTATAGGCTACACGCTTAACATACCAACATACCACCACAAAAGCGACAAACAAAAGATGAAACTACACCCATTATAGGCTACACGCTTAACATACCAACATACCACCACAAAAGCGACAAACAAACACAAAAGCGACAAACAAAAGATGAAACTACACCCATTATAAGCTACACGCTTAACATACCAAAATACCACCACAAAAGCGACAAACAAAAGACACTGATGTTCATGACGACACTTGAAGGCATATACTAATATTATACATAAATACCACATACAAACACTAACAACAAAAGTAGTGGTCATCATGTCCGGAGATGATGGTAGTTGTGTTTTTACTTTTTACTCCTCCGAGTCCAAGCACGACTCAACATCGCTATTCATTTCCATTTTCATTTCCTGACCGAGAAACATAGGCCGAACCTCAAAAAAATCAACAGGGGCAGGTGCTTGTTCAGCCGGTTCTCCACCTTCTTGAACGAGAATGTCATCCATATCTTCATCATCGGTACTAGCTAGAGACTCGATGTCATCCAGATGAATGGGATCATGTATGGATTTATCGGGACCTCCCTCCATATCAATTTCTGCCGCCGCACGTTCGTCGAACACCTCGGCGCATGCATAGTACCAATGGAATCCATTCCAGCGAAAGTAGACCTCACGGTCAGTTTCCTAATACATTGTTATCTTACTCGTCATTTTAGTGCAAAATTGCGGAGTACACATATATATGGCCTATATAACTCTTCTCAGTTTATTGTAAAACTGCGAGACAAATTCAGTGCATCTAATTTGTTGAAAAAAAGAGGCCCGATGTGTAAAAGTTTACAATCAATTAATTTGTTGAAAAAAAAAGGACATGCATGCATTACCTCTCCAACGTACTCCCAGTAGGCTTGATTAACACTCACTATTCCACCATCGTCGTGAACCATAACTCCGGGAATAGTGAGGAACACTAAGAAGTGAAGATACATGGTTCTAAGGCGGTGGACCTTTGCTCGTATCATGACTAACGAGAAATCTTTTTGGAAGAGTTCGGATAAACAACGTGCGAGACCATCCCACAAAGAATTGAAGACATGGGCCCTGTGGATGTCGGGTGTATCACGACATGTCCTGAAAAACATCCGGTGGAACACTCTCTTCATGTTCGGTCCACCCGGTCCCCCGGTAGCGTGCTGTGAGTTGTTCCACACGTTCGGTCCTATTCATCCCGTCCCACTGGTAACACAAGCAAAAAAAAGTTCATTACTTTCATAAAAAGAAAAAAAAAATTAGTGCCATATGAAGTTAAACAAAATTGTAAGTAATGGAAAACCTGTGTTGTCTCAACTTTGTACTTGGTTTCTGTCAACATGCCAAACACCATTTAAATAATGTTGATGATGGTAGTTTAAAGTAATTAATTGTTAGATATATATCTAATCAAATAATAAATAAAAGCAATGAGTTACACTTACTTCAAATCAAATGCTCTTAAATGTACACATTCCTCTATAAACCTACCAGAAAGTGGCGGTTACACTACCTTCATTATCTGCAAATTGTGTGTTGTGTGTTTAATCCAATTGAGTTACATCTGAAAAAGTAAAAATGTATATATAAGTGTGTATGTGTGTGTTGATAAAATGTGTAATGTATGTGAAATAATTTGTAGCCGTTGTTAAAAATTTTCATTAATCAGATTATGGTAATATATGATATATTATAGTATATACTTTCTTTGATAACAGTCCTTTATATTTATATACAATAATATATAAACAAAAACAATATATCATATTATTTTGTACCCGTGTGCTAACGCAGAGCCTTGAATAAGTTCGGATAGAAAATCATACAATGAATAGTTCATTACATTATATATTACATAGCCAAAACAAAGGTTCCTACCATACAACCATCGTTTTTCATGAACCGGAATTTCATTACGTTACAGAAGTTCACAAAACTATCAAACATGTTTGGACTTAACATTATGGTACGGATATTTAAATCTACTTGCAACAAAGTATGACTATCAATAGTAGCGTTGAAAGACAAATGATAGCCCTCCACAATTTCTTAACAAATATCTTCGAAGCAGTGAGGTCATTCTGTATCTTTTGAAGCTCCCGCATCGCGACCTCCAACCGAACCTCTGCTTCACTTTCTCTAAGCTTGTATTGATCAATTTCGTGTCTATACTTATTCATTTTCTCCAACAAACCAGGTATAATGTTCTTTGCTCTATCACAGATTTCTGGATCCAACCAAATAAAAAAGCCACAAAAACCTGCACTCTGCAAAAAAAAAAAATAAAAAAAAAGTGGCAAAACAAAATATTAACATAAGCTGAGACAACTGTGATTCCAAAATAATAACGAAATTTAAACATTACCCCATATTTAGGGCATGCCCAATATCGCCTTCCCGGATTTCTTGATGTCCAAGAGGTTTTCAAGTGCACTGTTTCAGAACATCTACAAGTCATATCCATCTTATGCACCACATCATTCCCATAAGTCGAGCTGCCCTTTGAGGAACTCATTGCCCCACAAATTTGCACAAGAATACGAAGATGGCCTAATACGTTTGAAATGTTTTTTGATTATGTGTTTTTTAAACTGTCATAACAGAACCAAATATCCCAAAAACAAAAAAGCAAAAAAACAACCCTACTACTTGTCTTACTGAAGACAATCACTCGAAATTTAAAATTTCACATGACAACATATCATCAACCTACAAAATGTCAGATATACACCACCAAAAACGAACGTATGCCAATATATCATAAAAATGAATGCTGAAAAATAATACACCAACGTAAAATAACAAAGTTGAAAGTGGTATAACAAATTTCATCACACAATAAAGCAACCTCAAGGAAAAACAAGATAATGGAGAGTATTATTCACCTCTCAAAGTGCTCAATCTCCGGTAGTTTTATTCGGCTGCGTGAGGGATGATAGTACGAGTTGAGAAATTAGGTTTTGAAGTTAGGTCTTGCAATTTTGGGAGTTAAGACCCGTTGGGCATCAAGTCATTATATGACAACGGGAGTTAAGACCCGTTGAGGCTTATTTTTGAAATTTTTCAAAATCTGAGCATAAAAAAGTAAACTACACATCTAAGCATAATTTTGAGGAAATTATGTACACCACACATTTTAAAAAAAGTTTACATTTATTATCGTTATATAAATGATATCCATTACTATATCTCGGAATAAAGAAGCTTTATTGATGTTTTTAATTATTTGAAAAAATTTTCGGACAATCATAACATTACTTTGACACTAAATTTAATAATAAAATATTTCATAACAATTATGGTGAAAAAAATTAGACAATATATTATTTTGTCCGTATATAAAAAAATGACTTTTTAATAGCCATTACATGTACGAATATTTTCACATGAAATAAAACTTAATAAACTTGTTGGCATTATTTTTTGAAAGAATCAGATGGTTTGATACTACACTAAACTATGCCGAAAATAGTAAAAATAAAAGGACTAATATACAACAAAATTGCACTCCATCGCATTCTATCCAGAAACCAAACTTTTGCATCAGAAAGACAATAACATCATAATTCAAGTGCATAATACAAATATAAATGGTCCGCGGTACATGAAATGACGATTTCAAAAGCATAAAACACACAGTCCACAAAAGTCAAAGCGTCGACATCAAAACATGGGACTACCGATGTGCATTTCAGCAAGTGAGTCATTCAACAAAAGGAAGCATAGTACGCCTAAAATCATTTTTTCAAATCTTGTAAAATTTGTTGCACCATAGAGATTTTTGCCTCGGAATCAAGAGTAAAGAAAAGCTCTAGCTCGTCATTATTTTTGCATAAATATCGAGCGACAGCCACTTTGTCGCCGGTACTTAGCCCATGAACATCATTTAGAGCTTCATACACGGCCTGACGTTGCTCCTTTGCGGCGTTTTGGAAACTGGCTCCTTTAGCCATCTCAGTAAGTCGGTCATTGGCATTTTCACATAATGAACACAACATACCCACAATTTGATCCTCCACTTGTTGGGCTACACGTTGTTTTTTCAGCACACGTTTTCCCTTACTTGAAACACTATTCTCACCTCCTTGTGCCGAAGAAGACTCCATATTATTTTCATGTAGATGATCAAATGTGTGATTTGGTACGTGGGGCGGTGTAGTAGGGACCGGCATTGGTTGTGTGTCCTTGTCTATTAAAACATCATTTAACGCATCCGCGAAACTCTTTGCCCCCTCACCGGTTGCCCTATCTTTTCCAAAAATTTCAACCCAATCAGCATAAAAAGGCCAGGACTTCAAACGCATTGATTTAACCTTTGGTTGAACCTATAATATCCAAGCAGTCCATAGTTAAGTTAAATGTTGAACATATATTTAACATACCAACAGTGAAGAGAAAATAAAGAAAAAGAGAACCACATGGTTCGAATAAATATTACTTAAACAAAAAAGTCCAACTCATACCTTTAGGTACGCATTCCACTCAGGATCCTTAACATCCAACATGTTTCCAGTCTCAGTCCAGCCGAATCCAGAGGTCCCCATCATTCCGGCTAGTAAACCGTAATTTTTTTTCCAAACACTAATCTTTGAAGATATATGAGGTTCAGCTTTAATACCGCAATTTGGGAAGTTCAAATGCATATGTTTTTCCAACATGTGAGTGTAGCCGTTCCGAAAACCATTGTCACATTTCCAGCCGCGAGTTATGAGGTCCTTGATTCCATTCAATAAAACACGTTCTTCAGCCACTGACCATACCCGACGAGAGTTGTTTGCTTGTGCATTACGCCCCCCACTACCAGTTGACTTCATCAAACAACTGGTATCAACACTTTCATAAACAGGTTATTAATGTATCATAAACACAAAGTAGAAACATGTTTCACTACAATATATCGTCAAAACATTATGTTAACACACTATGTATGAAGGAAGTAAAAAAATCCATTACGCAACAAACAAACTAACACATAGTTGGATAAACATAATAGGTTTTCATACAAATGGAATAAGACAATACAATACGACACACTCAAATTCCAAGCAATGAAACATAATCAACAGTCAAACTGTTTAAATTTCAAATAAAGCACAGTTCATGAATTTAGTCAATGCTCCCCTTCCCATTCATTAAACATAGACATAGCCAATGTATCCCTCCAATTTGTCCATTCCTGAGTCGGGTCAACAACATCTACATAATCATCAGTGGGATCAGGAGCACCAGGGTTGAGGTCATTCATGTAGGAATCTCCATCAAATTCCATTGGGTTGACATTCATGGATGTGCGGATGTAATTTTGAAGCAGGCAACATGCAAGTATTATTTTATTCTGCGTGGCTATATTGAAAAATGTTTTGCTCCTAAGCACAGCCCACCGCATCTTCAAAACACCAAATGAACGCTCTATCACATTTCGTGCCCTAGCATGTCTTAAGTTGAACAATTCTCGATAATTTCTAGGTGCTCGATTACCATCTCCAAATTCATCTAAATGATATCTCACGCCTCTATAAGGAGCAAGAAATCCAGGCCCATTTGTGTAACCACCATCGCAAAGGTAATAATTTCCTGTTTAGTTAAGAAAGAAACTGCCAATAATAAATACATTTCTTACGTAAATACTAATGATGAGTTTGTAACCTATAATGGCTAGTGTACTAAAATATTATTTTAGATATTTACCAACAGGTACACGCAACCCCCCGTTTCTATGCACGGCATCCCGTAGGACACGGCTGTCTGCCGCAGACCCTTCCCAACCAGTTAGTACATACGAGTAATTCATTTCTCGATTGCATACTCCAAGGACATTTACGGATATTTGACTTTTTCGATTACGATATCGAGGGTGTAGGTGAAAAGGAACACGCACATGTATGTAGGTGCCGTCAAGTGCACCTAAGCATCCCTGTACATAAGTTCAATTTAAGGACCAACCATGCATTGAATTAACATGAGATAGTAAATGTACAAAGATTACAAATTCTTATAACATCACCTTGAACCATTTCCATCTCCAGTCAGTACACGAGTCATCCACAGGACTTGGTTGTACAACTACAATCGGGTAGAGTCGTATGACGGAGTCAAGTACATTGTGGAATAATTTGCTAATTGTTTGTCCAGACCTTCTGAAATCAAATTTTACTACTACATTTTTTTTATGGTGGGCTAATACACTCAAAAAAATTGCAACTTGTTCACTTATTTGAACATTTTTTGTTTTTTGCAGACCACCAACGTGTTCCAACAAATAGCATAACCTACCAAAGGCATCACGGTCCATGCGAAGTTGTTGAACACATGTTTCATCGCTAATATCTATTAACTGTTTCATGTGCTCTATTTGGGTGGGAAGCCTGTCTGCCATTCGGTAAGTTATTTTATCACGACGAAGCCTACTTCTACGTTGACTCTTGCGGTGGACAACCAATTTTAGGTAAATGTAAGCAAGCAAGAAAACAATCTTCAAAAGATTCATAATTTCTTCCACGACCAACACTGTCTGTGCTTGTTGGGTTTCGAAGTCCATCCTTACTTTGATAATCTAATAATGGTTCCACAATTATTAGATTCCAGTCAACAAAGTTTTCCTTCTTTCATACAATAAATCTGATTATAAACATTGAGCATGACATATATAAGCAATCATTCCACAAATATAGAGAATAATGAAATCAACAAATAAACAGTTATTAATCATAGTAAAATAAGATTGGAATAGAAACCATAATGTCAAGGATATATATGCCCAATATATGGATAATTATATTAGAGAGAGCCGATTAATACCAAAGCCGGATTTTGTGGAGATGAAATTTTATTGTCCTTCAAGCCCTTGCAATTAAATCTGCACAAAGTAGGATTCAGTTATGTGTCAACAGTGAAAACTTCTGGATATATGGAACATTAGCATACATTACATTTCTAATTTTAGAAGAATAAAAAACAAATAAAAAAATAAATAACAATAAATTACAACATGTACACAAACAAGCATTTCCCAACAATTCCTAACAACAAATTCACATCACAGAATACTATGTACAACTATTGGACAAATGATTTTTCAGAATATATGTCAATTCAGAATAGCACAAATTGACCTTGTCAGCCTTACTAACTTCACATAATAATTTTCAAACTCAAATATAGAAACTTATGAGGGTGGAATGTAGCTTTGAAAACCTATACCAGTTTCACCAAACAAAAACTGACCAAGCCCTTCACTTTGGCCACAATATTGCATTTCCAACATGATACCATTATCAAGTAAAAACAAAACTTTTTAATTTCTACCTTATGACACTGTACCAGAGGATGAGTGGCAGAATGGTGAAGGAATGGCTGTGTCGCTGTTTTTTTTTTTAATTTAATAACATACCAAACCCGAATATACACCCAAAATTTGCAAAAAATAAAAATAAATAAATAAATAAATAAACACTTATGTTAGGGCTAGGGTTTAAAATTTATAAAACACAGGCACAAAACAAAGGCTCGCTGGACCGTCTGAAAATAACTATGAACAAACATATGGGGGGTTCGACTTTTTTCAGAAGAAGATTGGCGAATATAAAAGCAATGAAAAGGAAAGAGGAGATGGAAAGGGACGGTACCTGTGCTTCACGAGGGGTTCGACTTCAGAAGAAGATTCGCGATTGCAGATTAGGGAGGATAAAATGAGGTGTGGTTGGATAAAATTAAATTTCAGGGTTATTTTGGTCATTTCAACGAGAATGATACTGTGCAGATAATTTGAATCCGGGGGGTAGGGAGGAGATTAATTTATCCCGTGAACTCAAGATTATGGCCAATTTATCCCGGGCTTAAAAAATAGTTACGGGCTCGAATCCTACGTATCAAACGCCGGATAACCGTAGGATTACAGGGGCTATCCTCCCTAATCCGCCCAACCAAACGTGCACTATGTATATAAATAATATTAATCATGATTTATCCATTATTTTTAAATTAAATTGGGTTGGACACAGTCCGACCAGACGGACCGAAAATCGGTTTATAACCAGTCTAGTTTGCTTGAATAAAATATTTGCTCTCGAATCCGTCAACACCAGTCGATTGGACTGGTGGGATCGATACGATTTTCTAAATAAATTTTATTATATTTAAAATTATTTTAAATAAAATTACATATTTAAATAAAATAGAGATTTATAAATCTATATATATATATAAAGGTTTGATTATTTTTAAAATAGTAATTGTTTCTCGCCAAAAAAGTATTATTTACTATATTAGGAAATTAATCAAGTAACTTATGGTATAAAGTGGGCGAAATATTTTTGGTATGAAATTTTATTGGGATATTCAATTTTTTGTATGAAAAATCATCAAAATGCATTTGGAAGTGTTTTCAAGTATAAAATAATTTACCAATTAAAATGGCATATTTTTCGTGATCCGTTAAGAGTGATATGAGTTACAGTATATATAATTTTTGTGGGATTGTGAAAATTTGCTTATTTGACAAAACACGTAAATTTATGTTACATTTATATTTTATTTCTTTTAAAATAAGTTGTACCCAGTATATCTATGTCGAAATTACAATATATGTTTACCCAATAGATTGGTTTATTTTTGTGTTATTTACAGTTTGAATAATAAATGGTAATATATAGTCGTTATCTATACAATTTACTTCTGTTCATATACTGTGCAAAAATATTACATGTTGTATGGTAAACATATAAATCTGAACTAATAAATATATGTTAGCAATAATTACCGAACCTAACTATATAGAATAAATATATGTTTTATTCCTTTTAAAACAAATTGTATATCCGGTTTATTATGTTTCATTATATCTTATATTTTAGAATTACTAAACTTGGTTTTTTATAAAAAATTATAAAAAAATCCCGCCTCTAAAAATTAATTAATCAATTTCTGGTACAACGTTGGCAAAATTAATAAATATGATTTTGCAATATAGTGGACGATTTTATTTTGGTATGAAATGATGAATTTAAATGGTATGAATTTACTTGCTATGGATAGAAATGTAATTGGAAATTTTGAAAAAAAAAAAAATAACTGAATAACTGATATTAATTTTATATGGTATGGGTATGAAAGTCGAATTAGTTGATTTGTTACAAAATCAAAGTGAAGTGATTTTCTAATTTGGAACTGAATT